TATAAAATATATATATATATATATATATATATATATATATATATATATATATATATATATATATATATATATTATCACACTGGCCGATTCCCACCAAGGCAGGGTGGCCCGAAAAAGAAAACCTTTCACCATCATTCACTCCATCACTGACTTGCCAGAAGGGTGCTTTACACTCCAGTTTTTAAACTGCAACATTAACACCCTTTCTTCAGAGTGCAGGCACTGTACTTCCCATCTCCAGGACTCAAGTCCGGCCTGCCGGTTTCCCCTGAACCCCTTCATAAATGTTACTTTGCTCACACTCCCAACAGCACCTCAAGTATTAAAAACCATTTGTCTCCATTCACTCCTATCAAACACGCTCAAGCATGCCTGCTGGAAGTCCAAGCCCCTCGCACAACAAAACCTCCTTTACCCCCTCCTCCAACCTTTCCTAGGCCGACCCCCAACCCCGCCTTCCTTCCACTACAGACTGATACACTCTTGAAGTCACTCTGTTTCGCTCCATTCTCTCTACATGTCCGAACCACCCAAACAACCCTTCCTCAGCCCTCTGGACAACTGTTTTGGTAATCCCGCACCTCCTCCTAACTTCCAAACTACGAATTCTCTGCATTATATTCACACCACACATTGCCCTCAGACATGACATCTCCACTGCCTCCAGCCTTCTCCTCGCTGCAACATTCATCACCCATGCTTCACACCCATATAAGAGCGTTGGTAAAACTATACTCTCATACATTCCCCTCTTTGCCTCCAAGGACAAAGTTCTTTGTCTCCACAGACTCCTAAGTGCACCACTCACCCTTTTCCCCTCATCAATTCTATGATTCACCTCATCTTTCATAGACCCATCCGCTGACAGGTCCACTCCCAAATATCTGAATACATTCACCTCCTCCATACTCTCTCCCTCCAATCTGATATCCAATCTTTCATCACCTAATCTTTTTTGTTATCCTCATTACCTTACTCTTTCCTGTATTCACTTTTAATTTTCTTCTTTTGCACACTCTACCAAATTCATCCACCAATCTCTGCAACTTCTCTTCAGAATCTCCCAAGAGCACAGTGTCATCAGCAAAGAGCAACTGTGACAACTCCCACTTTATGTGTGATTCTTTATCTTTTTCCTCCACGCCTCTTGCCAAGACCCTCGCATTTACCTCTCTTACAACCCCATATATATATATATATATATATATATATATATATATATATAATATATATATATATATATATATATATATATATATATATATATATTATATATATTTAATATATATATATATATATATATATATATATATATGTATATATATATATATATATATATATATATATATATATATATATATATATATATATATATATAATATATATATATATATATATATATATAAAGGAAGGAATAATCAGGCCATTGCAATTGGCTACACCCTTCGATGTCTTGTCGCCGCGGCTGCTGTGAGAACTGAGAGTCATAAGGCTGTCGAAATGTTCATACCAATAGAGCACGGTTCTCGTGTTCAACAAGGCTGTAACGCAGCGGCCTTTATCATATTGGACTTTTCCAACACATTCAACTTTGTCATAACGGATGTTGTTCTCTTCGCAGTTTATAGCTATTTTCCCTACCTTTATCATTTCATGCAGTCATGCTAGAGTGGTACTTCTAAACTCTTGTTTGGGGAACATGAAATTGGTTCATGTATAGGCGTGCAACAGGGAGAAACCCTCTCACTCATTTTCTTTTCTGTCTGTTCATCAAGGAAGTCACAGAAACACTGTCCAGAATTTCGTTGACTGTCCACTGAGCAATGTTCAGGGGTCAATATCTGGTTCTTGGATGATGGCACCCTGGCTGACGCTACAGAGTCTCTCCTAGAGGATGTCAGGAAAATAAAAGAGATAGGAGAGAGCCTGGGTCCATCTTTCAGTGCCTCCAAATGCATAATAGTTTCTACTAATCGACAGATCATTGAGAAGCATGAGCCAGTGATCCAGCCAATTGCACTCTCCTTGGTGCTTCTCTCGGGTTGAATGCTATGGATCTGATTCTAGAAAAGAAAGGAATCTCAGACCTCAGAAAGATGGTAGGCAGGATGAAAAACTGATACACATGATGCCTTCTACCTACTCACCCAGGAGCCTGTCCCTCCCAGCCATCGACAGTCCATAACTCAAAGAATATGACTCCCTCCTAAAGACTATGCTAGAGAGTGCATTGAATCTTTTTCTTTAAGATGGGACAGTAGCTGTAAACCTCAATTCCAATCGTGCTCATGGGGCTGGGAGTACGTAAATCTTCCCAGATTGTGCTACCAGCTTTCTTATCCTCCTCCATTGCATCGGAAGAGCTAATAAAGCAAATTCTTCCAGACAACCTTAGTGATTCAACAGGAATACAGGACCAAAGCTGCTTTACCGTCATTACCGAACTGGAGCCTCGCTACTCCAGCGCCACAACACAGCGCAGCACTGGCTTACAAATAGCCCAGATGGGATGACCCCATCGCTGAAACGGTACATAACAACATTCTCAGGGTTGCAACATCTAACAGTGAGTCTGCCTATCTCTAAGCTGTGAGTTCACATCACTCTGGGGGCTTCGTCCTATCAGTTCCTATTTCGGCAAATAGGAATATCCCCTTACTCTCAGACCCTCCATATTGCATTGGCTCTCCAGTTTACTGCCAAAATTCACAGTGAATATACATATATTTCCTATGATGTGCAAGCCGACCAATATGGTCTACAAAATCTAAACTGCTTCAAAACTATGAGTCGGCACACAAGACACAATGAAGTCAATGACATCATAAAGAGAAGTTTTGCCTCAGCTGGGTGTCCAGCTGAGATGAAGCCCTGATCCCTAGCATCCAGAAATACTCACACTCTCGCAAACTGCATCGACAGGATCACCATCCATCCGTAAGAAAATGGCAAGCTTTTAGCATGGGGCTATACCTGTGTGCCAACGATGGCTGACACCTACATCTGTCACAGCATTGGGCATCAGGGAGGTGCTGCGAATCATAGGGAAGAGTACAAGATGAGCACGTACAGTGACATAAGCCATTTGTATTAATTTGTCCCAGTGGGATCAGAGACCCTTGAATCATGGGGAAAGAATGCCACACTTTTCCTCAAAGAACTGAGTTCCAGATTCACGTACTCTACTAGGGAACCAAGGACGACCCCTGTCATGTTCCAGCGCCTGAGCGTGGTCATCCATAGCAGAAATACTTGCTGCATACTTGGCTCACGTCTAGATTCAAAGAAACTGAAGGAAATTTATAATCCTTTATATATTGTACAATTTTATTAATGTTCGTGCCTTATATATAATATATATATATATATATATATATATATATATATATATATATATATTATATATATATATATATATATATATATATATATATATATATATATATATATATATATAATATATATATATATATATATATATATATATATAGGATGGGGTCCACCTCTGGTGTAAATTGTGGGACCCATAGCCTCGGAGAAGTGGATAAAAAGGCTTCAAGGAAGAAATATTTGGATTTCTTCCTGAAGCCATTTGAATATTCCACTTCCCCTACCACCCCATCTTTTAAACTATTTTTTTTTTTACCAATAGGAATATTTTATTACATAATATGGCACAGAAGATTTAAGAGATATATATATATATTATTATTATTTTGATACTCATTTTAAGTGCGGATATCATAGATTTTTTGCAAGAGCACAAAGAAAGTGGTAACGTAACACTACTGAAGAACGGTAACGATGGTCATTGTTTCGTCCCAACAGCACCAGGTAAGAGATGACGACGGACTACTGAAAGATGTTCAGGAAGCTGTCAGTGTTTTCTCCCAGCAGCACAAGTGAAGCTGTGAAGTAGCCCAAGAACAAGAAGTAGAAGGCTCCTTGCAGCTGATACAGTCTTAGTACCTCTGGCTCCTCGTCCTGCGGAATATTCTTGTACTGTGTAACAACGTCTGTTTAAGTAATTTTCTTAAACCGGGTAATTTCTTATATATCCCATATATACTTTCTCTTAAAATAAACCAAGCTTACTGTATTTAACTTCAAATAACTGGTAACAAGTAAAAATCAGTGTCAAAGGTATAGCCAGTTATATATTGTTTGTCTTGAGTGCAAGCCTTTCCAGAATATGCTGTTACGTGTAATGAGAAAATAACTTATAGAATTAGTAAATTTTCATCTTATCAACCGTTACTTTCCGTTAGGATTTCTTTAAATAATAAAGAAACAAGCATTTTAAAATAATGCGTTAAATGAACAGGAAAGACCCCTCCCCCCTACATCCATTACCAGTTCATCATAAACTTTAACAGCTGTAAGTACAGACGAGAAACACACAGACATGTGCCACATGTTTGTGTGTTTGTAGATGAATGGTTCAGAGAACCAACACGTTGATAAATTAGATACTTTATAAATTTACCACATCGACTCAAGGTTGAGGGACTGATTACCTCATTCTCCTCCTGTTCTTCACGTTTCTCCTTTGTATGGACTGATGAAGCCACTGTGTAGCGCAACGTTTCTTCAATAAAGATACCCAAGAGTTGCACATGTGTCTAATTTATCGACTTTCATAATGCATGATAAGCTAGTTTCAGTTATGCAGTTAAGAATACAGATTATCGTCAACTTTTGTGCACGCAATAAAAGTCATCATTTCTAGGTAATTTTGGCAGCACTGCTCAAATATTGAACAATTAAATCTCACAGTATTATAATACAGAATAAAAATTCGATCTTCTCACTTGGAGGCAAAATTCTCGAAAATATAGAGAATAAAAGGGCATAATATCGTGACTAGTTAATGGTGCAAGTCAGACCGAAACATCGCCATAAGTGCGGGTTATTTGGGTGTTTTCGAGAATATATTTTACTTTATATGATATTATAACATTTGTTGTTATGGAAGACGAACGCTATCGTAATGACACGAGATATTATGTTGTAACGTTGTAATGACACGAGATATTAACATGTTGTAACATTGTAATAACACAAGATATTATGGAAATATAAACACATATGCAGTATAATGTGATCCTTTATTGACTACGTTTCGCCCACACAGTGGGCTTTTTCAAGTCACAAACAGATCTACCTGGGGTGGAAGGGACGCGAGTATTTATAGTCAGGTTCAGAATGCTGAGGTCAGGTGGAGAATGCTGCATCTGATGATGTACCGAGTGGGGTTATAGAGTCTAAAAACTTGGGTAGCTTGGAAAGGAGATTGGATAAGTTTGTGAGCAGACCTTCTACAGTGTTCTTATGTGGGATAGCGATGAAGAAGTTTCTTGGCAAGTGGTTCAGCTATGTTATAGAAGCCACTATTCTGGTTGAAGTTTTCGGATATAGAAATAAGTGATGATTCCAGGATTCTTCGGTATTGGGTGTTGTCTTCTGTGGCGATAAGTCTTGAGTTTCTGTAGTTTATCAAGTGGTTGTGTGAATTACGGTGTTGTACACAGGCATTCCTTGTGTCGTCAGACCTGCTTGCGTATTGGTGTTCTGAAATACGTGTTTGGAGGTCCCTTGATGTTTCGCCCGCGTATAATTTGTTGCAGTCATTACAAGGGCTTATGTATGCCCCTGCAGAGGGTGGAAGCTTGTCCTGTCTATCACTGGTAATGTCCTTGATGGTCGTGGTTGTGGAGGTAGATACTTGGAATGAGGTATTGGAAAAGATGTTGGAAACGTGTTTGGCAATGGAGTTGGTGGGGAGGACTATGTATCTCTTCTCGGCAGTGTCTTCTCTGGGTGTGTTGAAGATGTTTAATGCCCGTCGTCTGCAGTCTCTGATGAAGTGACGAGGATAGTGGAGTTTAAAAAATACTTGTTCAATTATCGTGCATTCTTCTTCAAGAAACTCATTGCTGCAGATTCTGAGTGCACGCAGGAAGAAGCCTATAATTACACCACGTTTAGTTTTGGTGTCGTGGTGAGAGTAGAAGTGGAGAAGATCGTTTTGGTTGGTGGGTTTTCGATAGACTTTAAAACGAAGTTCGTGGTCAGCTTTGCAGAGCAGAACATCAAGGAAAGGAAGAGTGTTGTCGACTTCTTCTTCAAGTGTGAACTGGATTGAAGGCTCGACCTGGTTGAGCTTGTCTTGGAGAGCTTGAACGTTGAAGCGTTTAGGAGTTATGAGGAGAATGTCGTCATCATAACGGAGCCAGGTGACAGACGAAGGAATAATGGTGGAGAAACGTTCGGCTTCTAGATGTTCCATGTATAGGTTCGCCAGGACCGCACTGAGTGGCGAACCCATGGGTAGTCCAAAAGTCTGCTGAAAGATGTGATTTTCGAAAGAGAAACACGTAAAGTCAACACATAGTTCAACAAGGTCAATGAAATTGCTGGCTGGAATAGGAAGATCAAGAGAATCGTCAATTTTCCTGCGCAAGAGATCGATGGGTTATGTAGTGGATACTTTGGTGAATTGGGATGTTACGTCAAGGTAAGAGTTTCTTGTTCCTGATGCTGATGTTGCGAATGCGATTGAGAAGATCACCCGAGTGTTCGAGATGTGCTGGACTGATAGTGCCCAAGAGTTTAGAGAGGTGTTTAGCGAATCCCTGAGAGTTGGTGGGGAGCACTGCCTATTCCCGAGGATATGGGCCTCAATGGGATACCTGGAGAATACAGGAGAAGAGGTTACCAGCCTCTTGCTCACGGCATTTTAGTCGCCTTTCACGACACGCATGACTCACGGAGGAAGAATTCTTCGCCAATATACCAATGAGATTAAAAGAAATAATATAAAACCAAGAACTATTAAAAAAAACAGAAGAAAACTCAAATGAGTGTGTATACACATACATGTATGTGTATGTGTAGTATGAACAAAGTGTAAGTAGAAGTTAATTATCCCAAGGTTGGAGATTGAACTCGCGGTTAGAGAGTCGTAAAACTCTGGAGTTTTACGACTCTCTGACCGCGGGTTCAGTCCCCTCCCGTGGTACTGTTTGTTTACAATCGTGTCAGTAGAAATAGAAAACTGTACCTCTTACCTTGCGTATTTATATGACAGAGAAACGACACTAGTATTCCTACCATTGTGTAAAACAACTGGTAGAGTGGTTATACCTCCCTGGGTATTATAGTCGTAGATATAGACTTATTTGTACAAGGAGAGGCATTCCTAAAACTATGTTAATTTAAGATATACTTACGTTGGGTGTATATCCTTGGGGTCGATGCGTGTGTAAAACTACACTTGCTCTGTTCTCCTTCACTCGTCTGGTTATCACCTCCTTTAACCATTGTTCAGTAATTCCAGAGCCTTTTAACTGTAGTAACAGCCTTTGAAAATGCCGGCGATATGGAGCACCTTTCCTAAAGAAAAGTAAAATACTTTATATTTTTCCATGTTTTATTGTGTTCACTTTGGACAATTCTCAAATTGTTACTTGAGATCAGGAAGGACCCAAACATCGTTCTTGTTATTGTGGCTTTATTTTTTAGAACAATAGAACTAATAAACTTACTTCTAGATTTAATAACAAATGTAAGCATAAATTGTATTACTTAAGATACAAATATTTTTGGGAACTTTAGAAAGTTTGGAGAGGAAGAAGGATAGGCAAGAATAGAATATAGAAGAAGGGTGGATGGGGATTTGGGAGAGGGAGTAATAAAAGAATGTAACCTGACCACTTCTGGTAACTTACAAAACCTCTGGTTAAAGGAGAAGTTTATACTTTAAAATTAGATTTAAAATAAACTTAATTTGCGAAGAGAGAAAGATAGATGATAATATACACTTGGAAAATCCTAGAGAGATTAGTACCAAATTTGCACACGAAAATCATCCCTACGAAAGCAAAAGACTCGGCGGGAGACGCAACATCCCCCCAGTGAAAAGTAGGGGCACCACTAACACGACAAGTGACAAAACACTAAGTGTCAGGGGCCCAATACTGTTCAACTGCCTCCCAGCATACATAAGAGGGATTACCAATAAACCCTTGGCTGTCTTCAAGAAAGCACTGGACATGCACCTAAGTCAGTACCTGATCAGCAGGCTATGGTTCATAAACATACCCCCGGCCGGGATTGAACCCGCGGTCATAGAGTCTCAAAACTCCAGCCCGTCGCGTTAGCCACTAGACCAGCTAGCCACAATAAGATTCATCCAACTAGGTATATTCTACACCATAGGAAGGTTAGCACAGGCACCTCTGTGACCACAAATGCAAGTCACGGCCATGCTAGCTGGAGATTCGTCTGTAAAAACTTGCATTTGTGGTCACAGAGGTGCCTGTGCTAACCTTCCTATGGTGTAGAAATATACCTAGTTGGATGAATCTTATTGTGGCTAGCTGGTCTAGTGGCTAACGCGACGGGCTGGAGTTTTGAGACTCTATGACCGCGGGTTCAATCCCGGCCGGGGGTATGGTTTGTTTGCAATCGTGTCATTATGGTTCATACGTCGGTTTACGTGCCTCCAGCAGTAACAACCTGGATGATCAGGCTCTGATTTGGCCTCTAGTGCTGTGTCATTTTTTCAAATGTTTCATTGTTTCCTTTCTTACCCTTGCTTATTTGTTCCAAGATTTTCTACATTCCTGTTTTCTTTCAACTTTCATATTTAAACATTTTCAAATCTTTTTAGAGTTTTACAGTTGTCATCGTGACTCTGACTAAACCAAGAGTTCTCCCTCATGTCTCACTGCTGCACCTCATGACTGGTGTAAATTATTGTGTGGGTAACTGGTACTTCCTGTACCTCCTCATAAGAGTCTCACTATAATTCACTTCCATCTTAGACTCTCTTTATAAGATCTTTCATTAATGTTTATTTTCCTGGCGTTACTTCTTTATTATTTGTCTCACTTCCGTCTCTATGAATTATTTGTGTCTCACTTCCGTCTGTATTAATCCATTTCAACCAAGTATGACGCTGAGCACTGCGCCATAATATGACGCTGAGCACTGCGCCATAATATGACGCTGAACACTGCGCCATAATATGACGCTGAGCACTGCACCATAATATGACGCTGAACACTGCGCCATAATATGACGCTGAGCACTGCGCCATAATATGACGCTGAGCACTGCGCCATAATATGACGCTGAGCACTGCGCCATAATATGACGCTGAGCACTGCGCCATAATATGACGCTGAGCACTGCGCCATAATATGACGCTGAGCACTGCGCCATAATATGACGCTGAGCACTGCGCCATAATATGACTCTGAGCACTGCGCCATAATATGACTCTGAGCACTGCGCCAGCACTCGTTCCTGCTTTCGGATTCCCTTGATATGAAAACTTTGCCTTTCTAACTCATACACAACTAATCTAAGAATAGAAAGGCACAATACCGTGATTGGAACAATATGCAAATGACCTTTATATTACTACCTTTATGTTAGTACCTTTATACTACTACCTTTATGTTAGTACCTTTATACTACTACCTTTATGTTAGTACCTTTATACTACTACCTTTATGTTAGTACCTTTATACTACTACCTTTATGTTAGTACCTTTATACTACTACCTTTATGTTAGTACCTTTATACTACTGCCTTTATGTTAGTACCTTTATACTACTACCTTTATGTTAGTACCTTTATACTACTACCTTTATACTACTACCTTTATACTACTACCTTTATGTTAGTACCTTTATACTACTACCTTTATGTTAGTACCTTTATACTACTACCTTTATGTTAGTACCTTTATACTACTACCTTTATGTTAGTACCTTTATACTACTACTACCACTGAAGATTTCCCTGTCCCTCCCTCCTCTCGCACATATAATGCCTCCCTCTTTTCTTTCTCTTTTTATTCTTTGGCTTATCTTCTTCTGCCTAGGTGCGTTCTGTCTTATGAGTTTCTTCCCTGTTTTTTGTCCCTCCCTCGAAGGTCATTAGTTCTCTTCCAGTGCTCCTTCCCTTCCCCCTTGTCCTTAACTGCCCCATTATTTCCCACTTTTTCCCCTCGCTGTCACCCCACCTCTGGATTTTGTTAACTACCGCTACTCCCTTTGAACACTTCTGCCAAATATTGCTTTAACTTACTACTACTACTATTTATTTACCACATATACCCAAACATATTCTATTTTTAAAACCCAATACCTCCTCTCGTTCTCCGGGCCCCCCCCCCCATCCTCTGTTAAATATATATATATATTAATATATTTTAAAAATATATATAAATATATATATAATTATATAATTAAATATTTAATATATAATATAATAAATAAATAATATAAAATATAATTTTATATTATATATATATAGGGGAAACCACCCTAGGCTGGAATGGGGACCCCATCCTCAGAGAAGACAAAAACGACCTCAAAAAAACTCAGGTTCCCCCCCCGGGAGTTTTTTTGAATATTTTCTTCCCCTACCCCCCCCTTTAAAATTTTATTATTCTATGTGAACATTTATAATAAACAAAATACATTTACAGAAAAAACATAAACATGAATACAAGGCACAATGTATCAAAATTAATTTCCCTCCAGCTCCTCCGAGGTGGACTGGCCCAAAGCAGAAAGCATTTCCCCTCGGATGGGGGGCGCTGAGGCGCGGAACATGAAAGTGGCTCCCCTTGGGTCCCTGGTGGTGTCGATAGTCTGGAACCCAATTCTTTAAGGAAACGGGGGCTTTTTCCCCAGATCCCAAGGTCTCCGATCCCACTGGGAAAAATTGATACTGTTGGCTAATGTCCCTGACTTGTGATCTTGTACTCCTCCCTGTGGTCAGAAGCTCCTCCCTGCCCCCCCACACTGGGGGACGGATATAGGTGTCACCGTGGGACCACAGGTATAGTCCCATGCTAAAGCTTGCCATTCTTCCCAAAGGGATAGAGGGTGATCCCGTCGGGGGGGTTTGCGGGGTTGTGGGTATTTTTTTGCTGAAAGTGATCTGGCTCCCCTCGGCAGGAAAAATCCACTGTAGCAAGGGTTCTTTTATGAGTCGTTGCCCTTTCGGTGTCTTGCATCCACCCTTTGGTTTTTGGGAACATTTTAAGACCATGTAGACCGTATTGGTTCTTGCACTTCGCCGCAAATACACATATTTTCTGTGTAAAATTGGGCAGCAAGGCCAGACCCACTGCAATACAGGGTCTTAGGGTCGAGTGCTTTCCCATTGCCGATATGGGAACTGTTTGGAGGAAGTCCCCGGAGTGAGGTGCACTCACAGCCTGGAGACGGGCAACCCCCAGATTTGCAGCCCTGAGCATTTTGGGCAAGCACCTTTTTCAGAAATTGGGCTACCCATCTTGACTGTTTTGTGACCAGTGCGCACAGGGTTTGGTGCGGACGCAAGGTCCCCCATTCGGTGATGCACTGACATAGCAGGGTCTTCTTTTCCTGCGGGGGTCACGGGGGTGTCAGAAGAATTTGTCTTATCAACTCGTTTGATGAAATGGAAGAGGAAGGAAAGCGGGTTGCAATTTTGGGAGGATCTGCGTACCCTAGCCCCCCAAGCCTGCCCGGGAATGGGGTTGCAACCCTGTCCATCGTCAAGGGAAAGATTCAATACACTCTCTAGCAGGGCCTTCAGGAGGGGTTCATATTCCTTGAGTTTTGGACTGTAAGGTGGGGGCACTCAAAAATAGATAAGTTTTGCGTTGCAGGACCTGGTTAGGTAAAAGGCGTCGGTGTGTAAATGTCTTTCATCCTGTTTTCCATCGTCCGGGGGTTGAGACTTTTTTCCTGGGACCAATCGAGGGCTTTGGCCCCAAGGGGAGCACCGGGGAGAAGTGCTATTGGCTGGATAAAAGGCTGGGTTCCCCTGGTAAAACGGTACTAAATTTTCGTACAACGTTGTTTGGGTAGAAACTTTTTCACTTTTTGGGGGGGGTTTAAAAAGGAAAGGCCCCGGTTTTCTCCATGTCTTTAATTTTATGAGTCCTCCGGGAGAGACCCTTTTTCCACCGGGCCGTCGTCCGGAACCAATTTGAGCTCGCTGGAGAGTCCCTCTGTGCTTCCTTGAGCCCCAAAAAAAATAAAAGGGGGCGAGGGGGTCCCCCTTTGCACCCCTCAAAAACCGTCAATTTCGGGCCCCCAAACAAAGTTTTGAAGTCCACTATAACACGTTTCTATGAAGGGAAAAAGGGGGAAGGAAGTTTCTATAAAGCTTGGAGAGCAGCATCCCTTCTGCTGAGTTAAAAAGCATTGGCAAAGTCCAATTTGCCCAAAGGGCTTTTTCATGGGACATGTTTTTGATTATACTCTGCTGCGTGGGCAGCTGCTTTACAGCCCTGTTAACGCCGAAACCGACTGAGTTGGGTTTTAGGGATTTTCAGCAGCCCTCTTGACTCACCCTTCTTACTGCGCCTTTGGGGACTAGC